TCCCGATTTGAAAATCTCGGATAGGATGCCCTCGCAACACACACACACACTCACACAGACACAGACACACACCATGGGTCGTTACAATATGCGTTTTTGCATTTACACACACGCAGAAACGCACAAAAGTCTGCGATTTTGTAGTTAATTGCTGCCTTCAGTCAAAATTAACAACGTCATTCTCAAAATCTACAGAATTTTAGTTTGGGATTTGAAAGTTTTGGTCTAATCAGCAAAAAGACACTCTCATGCAAGTGACTGTTTTCTGAAAGTACAGAAGGGGACCTTGTCCGAGACATTCTGGCAGAAAATGATCGCAATTTGTTGCAGCGCACGGCTGTGAGCAGCAATCGCTTCCAGAATATTGTCCGTTAACTGGTCGCTTAAATAGAAGCGTAGTTCGGTGAGATTCCTTCCGAATGATGCTGATGATACAATTCGAGCACACTCCGACAGGAAGAGCTGCAAAGTCGTTTACTTATTGCTACAGCAGATCGATTTTTTGATGGAAATGAGGTTGGCATCCGGTTTTAACTTATCTTCGTTAACAAAGCGGGGTAAGACTCTAGAGCACAAATTGCTCCTGAATCGGCTTGCTCCTAAACATTCTGAAAAAGCCTAGAAATACGGCCTCTTCAAAAAGCCACAATAACGGATGTTACTTTCCAGGCGGATTATCTTTTCATTATGTGTTTATTTTCCTCATGTGATGTACAGAACTCGAATTCAGTGGCAAAAAATTTCGAAATTCTTGGGAGAATTCCGTTGTATGAAAGCTCTATTCTCTTCTCGGCTTGCCTTTTTGACTTCTGAAGTACGTATAGCAAATATTCCAAAAGAGATATTCATTCTTCCAGAGAAGATCCCAGCACTGTGCAAATTCTGGATGGATTTATGTAAGTGTAAGTTTTGATGTATACGGATATTACGTGCAAAACTACCTGATCATGAGAGCTGAAGAATTCGAGGAGGCGCTGTTTACAAGACGTGGGCAAATCGGCCACGTACCCGTACAACTGATGGCGGCAAACAGCCGCCAGACAGATGTTGAATAGCGATTTGACCATTTCCACTTCGCCGATGTCCACATTTACATCAAAAAATACTTGATAGGGGCAACGTTTCTGGATTGGCTACACCTCAAGATTTGCATTTTTACAGCTATGATTTCATATCCATTAAAAGTTGCCGTGTACACAAAAAAGCGACTGTTGAGGTAATCAGCTAGCAGCTCAGCACCGTATTAACAAAGCGAACCCAAAAATTCCAAAATGAGCTACACATAATGAAATACAAAATAGACAGATGAATAAAGGTAGCTGCAGATGAATAAATGTAATTAAAATGCAACCCAGGCTGGAACGCACCAAGCGAGCCGGTGCGATCATGCGTTTTTGCATCAAACTTCAAGTAATTAGATTAACTGCATGAACGGTTGTTTCTTCACACCTACCTTGTGCGCTCAATCATCATAAATTTTGCATAAAAGGACATAATCAATTTCCGTTTAGCGGTTTAATAATTTAACAGTAAAACACTTTCATGGGCCGTAAGTGAGAGCCACGTACGGCTGGGGGCTGAATTTGATAATTTTAAGTCGTATATGGGCTAGGAACACTCCATGAAAATTTCAGCTTCCCAACCTTGTTAGTTTCCGAGTTAGCCACTTTCCCGCCAAAAAATCTCGCGGGCCCGCACGTGAGAACCGCGCACGCCTGGGGGATGAATATGACAAGTTTAATTCGTACGTGGGGTGGGGATAACCCCTGAAAATTTCAGCTTTCCAGCTTTGCTACTTCGCGATTTAGCCATTTTCCCGCCGAAAAAATCTCACGGGGCCGTACGCGGGAGCCGTGCACACCTGGAGGCTGAATTTGAAATCTTTGAGTTATATGTGGACGGGGAACATAAACTCAAAATTTCGGCTATCTTCTCTCGTTCCTGAGTTATCAGTTCTCCCGCCAAAACTTTCACCACCTCGTACGCGGGGCCCAGACTTGCGTGGGGGTTGGTACCGCATTCCCGGGATGGTATTTGGTCCGGGAACTTACTAGTAAAATTTTGGCGCTGGAACTTGCTTGATTGCCGAGTTGAAATACCCGGACAGACAAACACACACACAAAAACATGCACACACAGACAGGGTCGTCGCAATATGCGTT